TTCTGATTAGTTATCACAAGTCATAACTAGTTAAGAAGTCATCTTTAATTATTCTAATTATAAAGTTAATATAAAAATTTTTATTAATTAACTTTTATTTTTAATTAGTAAAAATTTTTGTATTAATTTTATAATTAAAATATTATATTATTCTGAAAATAAGTATCACTTGACTACTGCTTTTTGGATTCTAAAATAGGAGATGATACTTATTTCTGGATAGTTTCTTGAATATTTATTATATTAATCTGAGAATAAGTATCACCAAATTAATATATCAAAATAAAGATGGTACTTATTTCTGAACAGTTTAAATTAATATGATATAAGAAAGACTTCTTCTCAAATAAATTATTATTTTCTTGTTTAAAGATTTATAGTATCATAATTTTTATACATGTATGAGATGCATAATTCTCATGCATGTATTTAATTTGCAAAAAATATATATTATTAACTTTTTACCAAATGATTAACTCAAAATAATATCTAAGACTAACTATTTTTTCTATACTACTACTGAAAAAATTGAAATTATCATCTATACAACTACTCATGATATCCATAGTACTAGATAATATTTTATAATCAATCATTCTATAATTTCAAGATGGATAAAAAGATATGTCTAATTTTAATATATATAATAAATATATAACATTTATTTTTTAATCTAAACTGATACTTATTTATAGTGATACTTATTCATAATTTTCTTATATTTTGGTCTAAACAGAGGATGATATTTATTCTTAGGTGATATCTATTTTCAGAATAATATGGTGCAGAAAGTCTAAAGCCATTCAATATTTTGAATGACTAAAACTTTGTATCTAAAAATAAAATTTTAAAAAAAAATATATTGTTAAATAGCCTTTAATAAGAGCTATAATTATATGTATTTCTTTTATAAAGTATAATAATAATTTATTGAGTAGTTAAACTTTTTCTATGAATACTTTATTATAAAAAATAATAAATTGTGAAATTTTTAGTGTCAAGAAGTCTTCTCTGATTAACTAGATCTTTACATGACACATATGATTTTGTATTTGTAATATCTGATTGGTTAGTTTTATATGATACATGTGATTAGTCTTTAATAGAGTGAACTAATAATAAATTTTAAATAAATATGTTAAATAATATCATTCTTAATTCTTAAAGGTCACTTTTATGTATATACTTAGTAATATCATGGATTATTTTTTTTATTTTAAGGATAGAGGGGAAGAGAAAAATAATTATTTAAATACAATCTTATAATTCTCTAAATGTAACTCTCACCTTCTAAATTTGATTCAAACATAATTTCTCAATTTCCCAGATGCAATTCATTTCTATTTTATATAGTCAAATTCTTTCAAAATACTTTCTGGAACTTGACAATATGATCAATATTCCTTTACCACAAAGATAGCAGTTCTTTTCAAAAGATCTTATTCATATATACTCATATATCAATCAGATCAATATGTAAATCAACAAATCTTAGTTAAGATGATGGATTCCAATATATGTGAAACTATTTCTTTGAGACTTTTGAAAGTATAATCATAATATAGGCATGAATATTATTTTGCATTCTTTCAAAATGACTCTATATAATTAAGCTCACAGTGAAACTTCAGATAAAAAATACACATATGACTAGCCACTTCAATAATCTCTTGCAAATAGTTTTTTTGAGATGTAAAATCAGGCTGTTGACCAAGAATACCAGCTGCATAACATTATAAATTTGCCAGATCAATATATGACTTGCATGAATTATATTGCTTTATCAACTCTTGCACCCATAATCCACACTCTTCAAGAATTTGCTGAATACTCTTTAGTTTAGTTGTTCTATCAATATTAATAAATATCATAATATGAGGTAATCCATCAGACATCCTTCTATCATGAAGAAGTGGTTATTTACCCCTATTTTTAAGATTCATTCTTGAAACTATCAAGATATTATTGGTATATGCATTATAATTATTACTATTATCAAACATAAAAAGTGTCACTTTGCCAGAATGCATTCTTTCAAAAATGGGAATAACTCTGTTAACTACTTATTTTATAAGATCTTGATTCATCCACCAACTGTCTTGATTAAAATCTAAATACATAATAATACATATTTCAGTATGCAAAAGTTGCTGGTCATCAAGAAGCAGATTATTTATAGTTTATTTTTTTTTGAAAGATGAAGATATCCAATCAATTCACAGATGAAATTGCTCATATGGATACTAAGATCTTGAGATTTATGTTGGAGTTGATTTTCTTTTATAGGACCTCATATTTTAATAATACTATCATTAGCATAAAAAACCAATTTATTATGAGTAATTAAGATAAATTTAGAAATATTAGATGGAAGTGTTGACAGAATAACTTGCTTCATATTTTTCTCTTTATATACTGCCATTTGAGATTATAAATTGGCTATTTATTTAAGGAATTGATTTCAGTATGCTATCACATTATCATACTCATGGCTGTCAAAATAAATATTCTTCGAATAATCTTTATAGTTTTAGTCAAGATGGTATAGCTATGATCAAGTTGTTATTTCAGAGATTATTTTTTTTTTCTCAAATTCAAAAGTTGATATGGCCTTTTCTTTAACAAACTTTATAAAATGATGAAGGATCAGAGTAAATTTATTTGTACGCAAATATTGAAGAATATATAACTTGAAGTTTTCATGATGCAGAAAAGAGATTTTTAAGTAATGTCTATAATGTGATATATGAAGTTTATCTTTGCTTAATCATTGATTTGTTCATGAATGAATAATTCATATATATCATAAACCTTTATTAACACTACGTGTCAGAAGCTTACTAGCTAATAGCTTAGAAAATCCTTGATCTTGAACAGATAAAGAAATTAACTTGCTATATAAAGTTATATATTCTCAGGCTTTTTTACCAACAAAACATCAAGAGATACCAAATTAAATTTATTATGGTCATTATCATTATCATTGCTGGAATTAACTGCTTTATCAAATAAAAGATCTATCTTATTATGAGTAGAATTTGCTTTGTTATTGATGGAGAGATTGCTAAAAAACCAGTTAATGATTTTATTAGAATCTGCAGTTACTTTTTTTAAGACTATTCTCTTATTACGTAATATTGATTCTGCAAAGCCAGCGTAAAATTATTTTTATCCTTTTGTTATCCATGTATCTGATTATCTTACTTATTTAACAAGTTTCTCAAATATACTTGATTTTACTTCTTTTAATTCTTGTACAAATTAATTATTCATAGTATCATTATCTTTTGTCCAAGTAATATCAAAGCTTAGTTTATTATATTTGATATCTAATATTCATATATTGAATTGATCATCCACAGTATCATTATCTTCTATTCAAGTGATATTAAAGCTTAGTTCATCATATTTAATATTAAATACTTGTATATCGAGTATTGATTTGTTATCCTATCACTTTTTGATAGTAGCCAAGCAATATCTAATATATTTGTTATACCTAGACATTATAAAAAATTTGTTAATAAATCAATTTAAAAAATGAATAAATTAAGAGAATGAATAAATTGAGAATAAATCATCTCTTAAAAAAATTCTTCAATTTTAATAATGAAAAAATCAGGATACCTCCTAAGTTACAAATAAAGACGTACTTACTTCATATATAAAAAATAACATTTTTTCTAAGCTGTCCAGGATAGTTAATTAAAAGTCTAAAAAATTTTTTTGGCTTTTATACAAGCATTAATCATGTAAAAAATTACATGAATCATTACTTATATAGTATGATAATTATATTGAATTTTAGTAGTAACACAGTCATTTGATATTTTTAGACTTTCTGCACTATATGATAACTCTTTCAGAAAAAATCTAAAAAATCTAAAAAAATATATATTAAACTATAACTAATAAACTTTATTTTAATATAAAAATAAAAATTATTTCTTAATAAAATTATAAATTTTAATTTAGAGAGAAAATTTTAATTTTTACTATATTTTATTAATAGATTTAGTTACTTTTAATCATCACTATAAATGACTATAACTTTTTATAGAAAATTTTTTTTAAAAATCTGATCAGTAACTTAATAGAACTTATTTTAAGAATAATATTACCAGTTAATTTTTTTAAATTTTATCTTTATAAAGCTCTAAAAAGATTTAAAGTCACATGATTTTATTATTAAGTTAAGATTTTTCACGCTATATCAAGAAAATTTATTTTATTTTACTTTTAACTTATTTAAATAAATTTCACTTATTTTATTTAATTAATTAATATTAAGTTAATAAAATATAAATTAATAAAAATTTAATTTGTTATTATATTAAAACTTTTATTTTATCTTATATAATTATATTCTTTTATAATTACTATACTTGAAAAATAAAAATAAAATTTTTTAATAATAATTAATAAATAATTAGAAAACTTAAAAAGAAGAACTAAAAAAAATATCAAATCTCTTATTAAATATAATTATTTTATTATTCTTGAATACTTTTATTTATAAAATTTAAATTATTCAAATATTTAAGTGAATTAATATTATTTAATAATGATTTAGTAAATTGGATGAAGATCTGACATGAGCTTCATGTAATTTCTAAAAATAATAAAAGCGATAGAATGAAATATACAATACTCTCATAATATATTTAAGTTTTTGTAATTATTTTTTACTTTAAATTTATTGTAAATAAAATATTATAATATGTATTCTTTTAGTATTAATGCTTTTGCGCGAGTAAAGCATTGATAGCAATTAATATTGCGTGAACCATTATTTCACGGGGGATTATAAAAGACAAAGATTTTTGACTTGTAATATCAAAGAAACGATTGGTTGCCCCGACAATAGATTTGCATTTCTGTATTTCACCAACATCTTTATTATGATGACTACTTGGGATAAGAATAGACATTGATTCATGCATTCATCATCCCTCGTTTCTAGTTTTATATTTTTAAGTGATTGTAATAGAAACTCTTGATCAGGATTTTAGCTCCGTGATTCGGTTTTCAAATTCATCTATGATTTGCTTCAATTCAGGTTTTTGCGGTTTTTGAGAATTCGCCTGGTATTGTAATTGATAATATTGTTGTCAAAACTTACTATTGCATTTTCTCAGATATAATTAATAAGTGCTACGAAAAATTCCAACAACCCATCATTAACCAACCTTATTTATAATTTCCACAAAATATTTATACACGGCCTCTTCATGTAGTTTATTTTGAAAATTCTGCAGTCCTTCGACCAATTTTCTAAAGCTTTTTTCGCTTTTGTAGGGTAACAAGGAGAGACAAAAGGCAATGTCTCGCCATTGTCGTTTATCATCTAAATTCTTAAATCGTTGACAAAGTTTTTCGACCACATTTTCAGTTTGTTTGTCCTTTGAAAAAAAATTCACATTTGATTAATTAATCTTATTATAAAGGTGATATAAATTTCTGGTATCAATAATTATATAAATACCTTTTCAATGAATTCGAAAAGGAATTTCATAATTTCTTTGAAAGAATCTTCATTGACTGCATTTTCACCGGACGACAAATTACTAATTATATCTGGCAAATTATTGTAAACGGCGTTGTCTTTTGAGGCAAGCTCAGTAAAGAAAAGCTTTGCGAGATCACTTATCCTTTCATCTTTATCTTCCAAACATTTCGCCATCTTTGAGATCAATAATATTAGCAAAAAAATTAAATGATAAATAATTTAAATGTTACGTATGAACTAATTTACCTCTCCCAACTGTCCTTTGACTTTAATCATTCCATTCAAAATCAAGTGAGTTAACACCATCAACGTGTTCTTTTTTACCATGATATCTGGGTCAGCAAGACGTTTATACAGATAATTGATATTTTCATCGATAATATTATTGAAGCAAACTGTCATATCACCAAGAGCAATGATAATGTTGCTCCGAATGATTGGCTCGGTGGTACGTTCCAGGATAGTTAACAATAACTGTAAATTGTTTTCGCAAAATTCAGAACTGACACACATGAATTTGGAAAGAGCCAAGGTAGCTGCGATTTGCAAAGTTGGATCCTTTAATTTATAAGGTGTGAAAATCATACCGATGAGTAATGGATATTTATAATTGATTTTCTAAATAATTTACTTACTTTATAAGCTTTATTATTTGAACATATATGAACAGCCATAGATCCGAAAATAGGTAATAATGAATTCGAGCCAAATAACAATTCTTTTTCACGGATATGAGAAACTGCTTCACCGAATTCATCTTCAGTTGTACCAGCAATTTGATCTAATTCGTCTTCAGCTGTCTTGGTCACAGTTCTTGCCTTGTCTGATTGTTTTTCATAGATATTCAATAAGCAACTGCGTAACATGTAGTTAAATCAATTGATTTACTTACCCTTTGAATCGCTATCGACTTTCCTACGTTTCCATTCAGCTTCAATAACTTCAAGGTGTACGATTTGTTTAATTGCCACATGACCAACGATAAATAAAAGTTGACTCAAATGGATAGGATGCGTCGTAAATGTTTCTTGGGATCCGAGAATGCTTTCATCCTGATCTATACTGGATTCTCTGGTGGATGGTGGCTTAATATCGAATACCAAACCTGTTCTTTTCTTAATGATATTACCACACAGTATATCGGGATGTTCGCCAAGAAGATAGATTGTATTGATTGCTTGCTCAGCAACAGCAAACCTAATGATCTCATATTGAGCATAAGAGTTTTCATACTTGAAACATAAATATTATTATTCTAAAGTTACCATTCGTGGGATTTTGTGGGAAATTCGATAATTTCTTGAAGACGTTGAAAAATCAAATGAGTCATAGGGAAACGGATCGAATCATTCTTTAATGAACCTACGTTTGAAAAATAATCATTTTTAATAGATTTTTTATAGTGACAATAACAAATATTGTTTAATGCGACTTGCCTTTGACCTTTGCTTGACTTCCAGCAAGTCGTTGTAATGCAATACAAGTATATCTTGCTAAGGTCAAATCAGCCTAAATATAAAAACTTAGTCAATTCTAACGCAATCATAATTCTTTTGTACATTAATTAATTATTCGAACCTTGCCTAAAGATCCAAGACCAATTTTGAGAAGAAAATCTGTCTTTTCGGAAATGATTTCAATTTTGGCTTTTGCAAGCATGCCCAACACAATTATTGCTCCTCGACGTTGAACTTTGGAAATATTACGTGTAGTAGCTGCCAAGAATAGATGTAATATGTCAACATTTTGACTAATCAAAATCAAACATGTTTTCTTCTGAATACTGACCATACACGGACCATAATTTCTCAATTATATTGTCCGAAATACATCCATCTGCCTCAGTCATCATTGTACTCAATAGTAAATCAAGGGAGGTTAATTCGGCCAAAGTCGCGTTAAAAGTAAGACTTATAGAAGATATATAGATTAGTTAAAAATAATACAATGGGACCTACAATTTAACAATCTAAATGGTTAAAATACCTTATCAAATTTTTTGTCATAATATCAACATTTTCATTTTCTGTCAATGAGTCGTCAGGGGTAAGATAAAGTGTCCGATATGAATCGATTAGACGTTTTCTGATGCCTTTTCCTTCGTCACTATTATCTTTGGTCCAAATAAGATGCACCATCTTTTTTATTCCTTCACTTGCCTTCTCAATCTTATAAGTATGGGCTGCGACAAAAAATTCTATTGCTTCTAGCACTTCGGCCTTATTAGTTGAAGCCAACAATACACACAGTGTCGGGATAGCCGTATGAATTTGGTGAATAAATCGTACAGCATCCGCGTAAAATCGTTTGGTTAGTTGTAATTTTGTGAGCACATCATTGGTCACTATTGGCTCGCCTTCATTTCCATTTGAACGGTCGATCGATAGCAACGAAGTATCATTTTCTTTATTTTCTTCGTCAACGATTTCTGGCTGATTTTCTTCGATTCCTTGTAATTCGGTTGGTGGTAATACCGCCTGTTGTATGTTTATAGTATTTATTACAGAATAACGAGAAAAGAATATCACTTTTAAGATTGAATTGCTTGAAAATTGTGGAAACAAGTTAATAACAACCTTCAATTCTTCATCAGCTTTGTGCAATCTTTCTTCCCATTCATTAATCGTTAATTCACCACCATGCATAATTCCATATGGATGAGTTGTGATTAGTTTGGTAAGCAATTTGATTGCATTTTTTCGTACTGTTGAACTTTTGTCTTCCAAAGATCTGATAACCAAGTCGGTGAGTCTTTGTCGACGTTTCGGGAATTTGACTTTTAGGCTTATTAGTTAACAATATCCGACAATTTGAGAACTATTACTATCAAATAATTGAGAACTAAACAGAATGCATCTCATAAAATACTTACTCGCATAATTTAAGACAAACTTGTAAAAGTTTTGAACGGCAGTAAGTATGACTGTCAAGAAACCGTTCTTCAAGAACATCAAAGAAACCGTTAACTTGATTTTTTGAGACTTCGGTCTGTTCCTCCTGATTTGCGATATGTGAAATAAGACAACCAATAACTTCAAGAATTCCACACCGCATCGTGTACGACTTGTTTTGTTTGATAAAAGGATACAAATATATTAAATTTCAAAGAAAAATAAAATGCATTCAACAATAACAATGATATTATTCACTACCTCACTATCCAAATGCTTGATCAAAAGCCCAATATGTTTTAACACTAATTTTGGAACCAACTCGGAAAACTTGAACAAGAATTTGGAGTACGATTTTGGCGTGGTTGTATCTTGGGCTTTAAATTCTTTGTTGCTTATTTCACTAAATTCGAATATGAAAAGTTCAGATTAATCAATCATATTAGTTAAAGTCAAATAAATAATCCACACCGACAAAAGACATACAACACATACATTAGGATTTCTTCAGCCAATTGTGTATGATCAAATTTATTTGCCAACACCTCCAGGAATTCGGCCATTGGTTCGGAAAGATGTTCATAATATTGTAAATTTTGGATGATGGTTGTTTGTGCACCTTTAAAAAGATGTGATTAATATACATTTAAAAAAAATAAATTTAAATTTCTATATATATAAAATTTACCAAATGCATGATTATAATCCTTCACGCATTTTGACAAAATCTTGTATACACAAAGCTTAATTTTTGCGACCCTAGTGTTTGCAGTGTTTTCCAGCATTTGGTATGCTGGTTTCGTAAACACACTGAATATTTATAAATATCCAGCAATCAAAACAAATTAGTAAATATTGAAATTAAATCAGTAAAATAAATTTTAAAATCACCTAACAAATGTATCCCTCTCATGAATAGAAGTCCATATTTTGTTGATCCCTAAATCCAAAATCGAAGCTATCAATTCCAATGCTATAATTTTTTGCGCAGGCCAATTCCATCCTTCGGAATCAGAAGTTTTGGGTATTTTTTTCCCCTATATGTTTGAAATTATAAATATTAGAAAACACAATAAAAAATTATTATGATATTTTAGAATTTCATACCTTCCCTCTTCCGCTGACGCTGCCACGAGCATTGACCGCAGATTCTTCTCCCATACTTGACCCGGCAGTAACTGACGTATTTTTTGATGCCGCTTTAGTTTCTGCCTGGTTAATTATCCAACCTAACAAAAACGCGTACATTTCCAGTGATTCTCGGTGACTTGGAAAAGTTTCCTCATCATTTGCATCTATATCTCTTGCAGTATTTTCAACCTCTGATTGAAGTCCTGCATTAAGGAAAACACGATAAAATGGGTAAGATTATAGATGTCTTGTTTAGCAAACTCAAAAAAAACCGATACCGGATATAATTGTATCTAGGATTCGACTCATTACTGAAGGTTTCAGTTTATTGAAATTCCTATAGTACGAAGAATATAAATCAATATAATGATACATCATTACGACAAAATGTTATGTGAATACTTGCTTGATAAACGAACGCAACGCATCAAATATCTCGGGTTCGGTGATTACAGAAGAGGAGACCACTATTTTTTCAACTATATCTAATGTTTTATACGTGAAATATTAATTTTTTGTTTAAATAAATCTTCAAAGAACACAAACTATATACCATCAAGTAAGCCTTCAAGGTCCTTTTCATTTATATCAGTAATTTGAACTTCATTATGTATGAAATAATCTTTTTCTTGCAATTTCAACAGCTCTTCGTGCAGCACAAAAGAGTCTGACATTTTTCTATGTTTGTTGTAAGTAAAGAAAAAAAAGAAAAAAAAACTAAAAACTAATAATTTTGTTATGAACAAAGTTCGCGAAGAATAAAAAAGTCGCGTCTCGTGAATTTATCAGGTAATGTGACGTGTTCTTACCAAATTTAATTCTCCGGTTCTAAGTCACGTTTTTAAGTCAGCTGATAATTCTACACATTTAAATATTTTCACGTCAAAAGGAGAATAGAAAATACCACAAGTTTAAAAATGTCGTATCCCTATAATAATAGCACCGGTGCACCCGGTCATTTCATCAGCAACACCATTACCAACACCAACAACACCACTAGCAACCCTTCACAGCCACCACCAAAATTTACAGATTTTCATTTAAAATCTTCGACAATATCTAAGGAATTTAAAGTGAATCTGATGCGATTTCCAAAACCAGTGGACTTGAATAAATTTACCCCGCCAGTAAAGCTATATCGTGGAGATCCTAATGCACCACATCCGTCACAAGTTACAACAGCCCCTGCCAACAACAATGCGACAAATTCAAGCAGCGGTGGAGCTGCTGCCAGCAGTAATAGTAATCAAGGGAAGAATAATTCAACCACTGGAGCCGATACATCTAAAATTGCTCCTTATGGAGGTGCTACGCGAAATAAGCAAATGTTGTTCAAGAAACGCACTAAACAGATCTATTTGGCGTCAAAGGAAAGTAGGAAGTTAAAACAGGAGGAAGACAAGCCGTGGATTTTGACGGATTACGATGATCAAAATTCTTGGATAGGTGAAATGGAGGGAGGAATCCGCGAAAATCAGTATGCTATATTCCTGCTCACGGTAATTCATTTTTCGATATTGCATTTTCTTTTGTGATTTTCCATATAACAACAAGTCTTGACATCATTATAATCCTTACTAAATCAAAGGAGGATGGGTTTAAAGTGGTTCCTGTAAATCGTTGGTACAAATTTAAGCCAAAAATAAAGCATCGTACATTATCGCTTGAAGAAGCGGAAGAAGCGGTATTTAATTATGCATTGATCTCAACTTATTTTAGTTAATTAAACTAACTATCTCACACTTAGATGACAAAAGCGAAAAAAAAGGATGCGTCACGATGGATGATGCACACGTTTAAACCTTCTGAAGAAGATGAAAAAATTATCGCAGAGGAAGGATTATACGATCCCAAAGCACATTTACGTACAGTAGAAAAATATGTGTCGGATGATGAAGATACCCGACGACACAAAGAGGATGATGACGATGAAGATTTAGATTTCGAAGAAGTTTTTGAGGACGATGAAGAGTTTCCAGAACAGGCAATGGATGAGGAAGAGAAGGAGGCTGACATCAAAGTTAAGAAATCTATTAGAAAAGCTACTATTAAACGTGAAGAAGAGGAAGACAATAATTTACCTGATTCAGAAGTAGATGATGATTTGACCTCAGCCGGTAAAGATTTAAAGAGAATTGTACGTCAACATGATAGTAATGAAGCATATATCAGTGATAAAGATGAAGACCCCTATGCAAGTAGCACTGAGGAAGAAGATGCAACAGCAGAAACTAAAGAAGATGGAGAAGACAAAAATCAGTCTAATCAATCCACTAGTACAACTGCAGCCAAAACCACAACAGCTTCAAAAGGAAGTAATGCTCCAAAGACACAAAAAACTCCAGCCACATCATCTGCAAAAAAACCAAAAACAACTCCAAAAGCAACATCTGCAAAAGCTGGTACATCAAGTTCTGATATTACTGCCAAAAAGAGAGCTGCACAAAGTTCTAAAGCATCTCAAGGGCAAGGAGCTAAAGCTGTAGGTGCTGAGCCGTCCACCAAAAAAGTCAAGACATCTTCACCTAATCGTGCTGCTCCCGCTACTTCTTCAACCACTAGGGATTTGACATCAACAGGGACTCCGGCAAAAACTACAAAAGCTACAACTTTAAAATCTGCATCCTTCCCAGCCATAGGTACACCTAATCTTCCTACACGGCCTATTGCAAACCCCAAGGTCGCTAGTGGTGCGAGTACTAGTATTGCGTCAAATCCTAGCACATCAACATCAAAAACCGCAATTATAAAACTAAAGCAGCGACCACAAGCATCTCCATCAGATGATGCAACTGCCAAGGTTGGTCAAAAAAAAATCAGTGATCAAGCAGGATCTGCTAAAAAGGCAAAACAAGTTGTATCTCAAACCTCAGTTGATAATTATGCCGCTCCTCTAAAACGTAATATTGGCGAAATGTCTTCTACGCCTATCACAAATGATAAGTCCAAAAAGATTAAAACCACACCAACCTCCAAATCAGTTTCTTTAGCCACTACCGCTAGCACTACTACACAAAGAAAAACAACTGCGGCATCAACTATTAGTAATAGTCAATCACCGATTACGAATCCTATAACCGAAACTGAAGTGATTCGAGTTATTAGAACGGGTGGTATGACTACCAAGGATCTCATAGAAAATTTCAAACCTAAAATCAAAGCTGATGCTCGTAATAGGGAGATCCTTTTAAATTTAGTAAGGAAAGTTTCGGTTATTGATAAAGAGGCTAAACAGACAAATATTCTGAAACTGAAACCAACAAAACCGCATGATCAATAATTTTTTAAATAAATCATTAAAAACTCGAACAGTGAAACTATATTCTCATTATGACAACATTCTGATAAATATCATATTATCAAATACTTGTGCGTTAATTCTTAATGAAAAAAAATGAAATATGTATATATAATCTTACAATAACCCTGATATCTCCAATATATTTCTGATAATTAAATTTGAATTTTATCATGATATATTAATTACAATTATAAGCAATTAGAGATCAGATTTTTCAGTAGCAAAATTACTTTAATTTATATAAATATTATATTTTATCAGATAAAATATTCTATATTATATTATATCTTTTTTAATTTATAAAGGATGATTAGAATTAATTAATATTATATACAGTAGCGGTCAAAAGTAACTGACCCCTTTTAACTTAACATAATATAAAAAAATATTTTAAAGTTTCACCCAAAAAAAATAGCACAAATTCTAATTCTTGAGATTTTTTTATATAT